GGGGCGCGGGGGGGGTGAGGAACAGCCCACAGGCTATGAGGAGGACGTCATCAGGGGGGAGAAATGAACAGGGCATGAGCAGGAGCGCCAGCATCACCTCTCAGATCTCAAACGGATCCCACCTGTCGTACACCTAGAACACACACACAGTTTGATTCCTCTTCTGACACCACACACACACACACACACACACACACACACACACACACACACACACACACACACACACACACACACACACGCATGCACCACACATGCTTCACACACACTTGCAGTTCCTCTCCCATCCCCACTGCTGTCTAACATCAGCGCTCTGCTAGCAGCAGTCTGTGGAAACCCAAAAGTCTTGAGAATAATCCAAGATGGCTGACGGGCATGTCCAGTTTGCCACAGTGCAACAGTGTCACTTTGACTATAGCCTGCAGGGATGTGTTGCCATGTTAGTCTCTGTTGCCATAGACCCAAAGTGGTATTTAACTTTTATCTGCCATGGAGTTTTTAAATTCAGGATTTAGTTTGTTGTATGGTTGTTGTTTTTTTAAGTCTGATGTTTTCAGATGTTGCTTTAGCACATTATGGTGCATTCAGTGTGCAGTTTGAGAATACCGTTTAAAAATATGTTCCCTTAAATCTCTCACAGCTCGAGACATCATCACGTCGGTCTGATAAGGTTTACTAAGATGATTGCTTATGTGCAGTTACAGACGAATGAGAAGGCAGGAGGCAGAGTAGGGTCTGACGTTGGACAGCTCTGGAAGGGATATGCAAAGAGAACAAAGGTTGTTGAAAGTGAGTACCTGAGGGTATCTCTGACTTTATGGTAGCAGCACAGGGACGTCCAAGGAGTCACGAAAAGCTAAAAGTATGCAATTTTTCATTCCAGCCTGAGTGATAAGCTTATCCTCAAATAGAGAGGAATGTAACCGGGGAAATCCCCATGTGCAGTGTTTGAGTGGAATTAGTATTTAGGAGTGAACGTGTAGGGCTGCAGAGATGCCAATGGCAAGCTTTCAGTGTCAGATTTGTCATTTTAATTCCAACATACTTTTATGTATTTAATGAGATTGTGCCAGAGATGTTTTGGGAGGTTCTGAAATACTATGCGTGATATTAGGCCAAGTTAGATGCATGCGTTGCTGACTTAGAGGAGAGAAGGGAGCTACTTCCTGTGCATGCTCGGCCTCTTCATCTCGGCTCCTGGGTTTCCACAGTCCTCTGCCCACTCCTCACTCAGGCCTGTCTGAGGGACTCTCATGACAGGGGTGGGTTTTCAGCAGCAAAAAAAAACCTCTATTTCAAAATAATCAATATTAGTGTTTAATCCTTCATTTTCTGCAGTCAATATTCCGGTTCTAAACACTGCGCCCTGTGCGGGTGATTAAAAGCGATAAAAAACGTCTCTGACAAATGTAACCATGCCTGTTGGTCTACCTCAAGAACACTCGAACAGGGCTTAACCACAGGGGGTCGTGACTTTAACAATGCCTTCACCCACACTTGATAATCAGATTGACACACACACACACACACATGCATACATACAATAGTGTTTTTTATTCCAACAGTATGTCCCTTTGCACACGTGTTGTTAGATGCATGTACGGGGTAACATTTGAGAAAATGCAATGGGACATAAAAGATCTTTAAGGCACTTAGAAATGGCTGTAAATGAGCAACAATATCCATCTCACTTGCCTTAAATGTCTTTAAGGGTTTTTAGAAAATAAAAAAAGGACTAGATTTACAGAGTTGGTCGGTGCTGAATGTCGTTGGAGGTTTAGCGGTGATGCTGTGATCTCCGCTGCTATGCCCCTGCTCCTCTCCCTGGTCATGGCTACCGGCGCACAAAGTGCGAGCTCCTGGACGCCCGGACGGCGACTGGAGTCGTGCCGAGTGACTCAAACCTCTGGGTCGACTAGAACTCGTCCATGTCTTTCTTCATGTCCAAAAAAAATTTAATTCAAAACCCAATAATACAAAAAATCTATTAATACAAGTATTCGAAAACCCTACTTTGCTAAACAATCTATCTAACTATCTATATTTTTTCGTCAGTTTTTATTATTAGCTTAACGTATAATAAGAATCAACTTCGATAAAAGTTAGGTTAACTGTTGCGTGTGGTGATGGTCACAATTTTTTACAGTACGAAGAGACGATTAATAGTTCATTTGGTATTTATAATGTCCGACCCCGGACTTCTTCAAAAAATAAGCCGAGTATTTGGGTCACAATTTTTGACTTTACGACAACTGTTGTACTATAATCCTAAGCAGAAGACCCTTAGTAAGTACAGGTATGTAAACAAAATTACGTTGGGGTAGTCGTAACGGTCGGTGTCAAACGGAATCGTACCGCATTGTTATTGTAACACAAGTAGGTTAACGAAATGTCATTAAAATGGGAACGTAATTCTGAAGGACCTATAGAAAGAAGGAAAGTCCACCCACCGGATACAGGTGTCGGCGTGGGCAGACGGACAATTACCAACGTCACTTCACTCCCTAGGCCGGGGGGAGTCCCTCGAGGAAGAGAGCGATGGACCCCTCTCACCCAGCCGTCAAGGGACAGACCTTCCGCCGGGGACCCGTCGGTAGAGAGACATGAGTCCCCTCGTCGACACCAAGGCTTTTGTCGTACGAGGACAAATAGCGTCGCCCCCGGGGCAACTAAGTCGGCCTTTGACCGTTCGACGTCATTCCACTCTCTCTTTGTAAAAATGGTCCTACATAATTCCGAGTCGGTTATTCGTTTTAGGTGAGAAAAGTACAAAAAATATGTAGTTGGTGTACAGGGGAGTAGGTGAGGACACCGTGTTCTCTGAGACTTTTCAAAACGTCCTCTTTTTTTCTAGCCCGCCAGTGCAAAACCAGGGACTAGGTAACTATATTTTTGGACAGACTTTTACTCGACTAGTCTAAAAACCGGTGAAATACTACAGTACTTGCTAAACAACCGAACACATTTGGTAATCCGGTTAGTGGTTTGGTTCCATTGGGGGGGGGGTGTGTGTGGAACTAGTGGACTTAGAGGGAGGGGATTCTCGTGGTTAAACAAGAAAATTGGTTTTATAGAGAGTTCTCCCCGGCACCCCTCACCGAGGAATTTAGAAGTAGGATTTCATTGTCTGTCTCTTAGTCGTGAAAACTTTTGTCCCGACTTTGTCTCCACCTAATACCCTACCCCGATGTTACTAGACAAACCATAAATCTCGCGTTTGTGAAAGTCTCTCGTACAAAACATATATAGACTCTGGCGTCACCGCCAAGATCTGGTTAAACTGACCCCGGTGACCCCGGTCAATAAAGACTCCCCCAGTGTTATTTTACGTCTTGACTCTGGTCATACTCATTAACGCCGTATTCTTTGTTACGTTATGTCAATAACCATAAACAAAGTCATGTGAATAAATAAAGGTCTTATATTAGAATTATCAATAATGACAATCGAAGTTGAATTCAATCATCATTTCGTACAGACGTTGATTTTGTCGTGTATAGTATTAAATATATTTTTTATTTCTGTTACTTGTCATATGTAGAGATGAAATGTAGATTGTTAATCGTGTCTATGTTATCAAATTAATGGAACGTTCAATAGCACCCCCATCAACGAGAGCTTTTGCATACCAAACGTTAGTCAGAAAAGAACCTACGTTGTCGGAGACTTCACAAAAAGAAGCGCGCGAATCGGGGCCTGTCACTTTCAGTCACGTGGCGAGGATTACCAGGACTCACGTCGGCGGAGGTTACCCGCGCTGATCTACTGCTTATTCGGAATCAAAGCCGGATAAGCAGTAATTTTATTTAGCCATTTTTAGTATGTAAAAGTAATAAAAAAGTGAAAGTAAAAATCCCCCGGTGTCCCCCAGATGCACCGCTGCACCAAGTACCCGCTCCAGTCCGCCTCGCGCGCTCGCTCTGGCGCCCGGGCCAGAAGAGGACGCGCGGCGTGGTCGCTACCTAAACGCGCGACGACTCTCTCGGACTCTTCTAACACAATGATACTTCACACGTTATACGGCACTCTGGTCAGTATTGGTTCACTTACGAATTTATTTCCGTGCGTTATCATAGTTCCCGCTCCAAAATTGGACAGTTATTCTCACTCCTAGATGACCTCGCTCTTCTGAACTCGGACTCTTATACTTTTAAAAATAATAAAAGGAGATATACCATATTTACCGTAGTTATGCCTGCATTCTTCTTGTATCTATCTCAAATACGTCTCTACGTTCCAACCGGAATGTGTTCATGTCTCTGCTAACCGTAGGACCTACACCTACGCCCGGGGCTCCCGGGACAAGGAGGAGGGTCTCTGACGGTCACCCTCTCTCGGTGGACGCGTCTGTGTGGTTAGTTTTTATACCGATGGATGTGTTATTGTCTGAGGGTGTAACTTGTTTCCTGGGGTTAGGGTTCCCAGTGTGATGTCACCGGCGAAGGCGCGCACCGTCCTCCCTTGCTCTCCCAGGAGACATCCTGGATACCCTCTTGGAGATGATCGACGCCCTGCTCGCTCTCTCTTTGCTTGGCGAGTCGCGCCTCACATCTCCTAACGTCTACGTCTCGGACATGACCTCTCCGAGAGAGCTCACGAGACGCAATTGTCAAGCCACGTCGGCTCGCTGTACGCGAGAGGAGTGGTTGGTCTCCTGGACATTA